TAAAATTATATTTGTGTAATGAAATCAGTAATCATCTACTATAACGAATAATTTGTTAACGCTATAACGAATTATTCATTATATATTCCGCATAATTTGTTATAGCGTTAATGAAGATTCTTATAATGAAATCTGATCGGCTAGATCAGTAACTTCATTATATCGAGGTGTGACTGTAATTCTTTTCGTAATGACTAACTTTCAATTTTTATACGTTCACAATATCAAATTAATTCAAGTTCAACCTCTTATATGAATGATATAAATTCATTGATAAAAAATAGTTATTTTAATAGAATACTAAAAGTTGATGACTAGATCAAACCCATTTGGATTCTTTTAGTTGAAAGAGGTCTTGATGAAAATTTATGCTACATGAAGAATATTTTTTAATATTGTAGAATATTCTGTGCATTTGATCTTGATTATCTTTTCATTTGAATACATGTACCTGGCCAATTAGCATACAATCCTGTTAAGCATAGTATGGTGATGCTTTCTCAAAAGCTAGCTAGAATAACATTACTAATTGATAAACATGATTCCTATCTTAACTTTTAAGGCCAAGTGGTTAACTCAGAGCTTGCAATGAAGAATATACATTATGCTGGTAAAGCTTTATGTGTTCTTTGAGATTGTGATCCTATTTTTAGAAGATCAGTTACAATACAGTATATTGATCAAAAAAGCTCTCCATTCAAAGATATCATATTTTCTGCATGTAGCAAAGAAAATACCAAAGAATTGATTGTACCCTAACAATGACTAGAAAATCACACTAAGATGTATTAATATTCTCTCAATATTAAAAAATGTGAAAATCCACTTTGTTGTTTGCCTAAACATCACGAAGCGTCAATCATTCTTCTTACGAAAATAATGGATTCCTTTCACTTGTAACAAAAGGAAAAGATGATTATTTTTTGAATCTGCTTCATATATTAGAATATTATAATAAACTCAAAATACCTGGATATAATGCCTATTGTCCTTCCATTAATTTAAATACTTATACTTGTCTCTACTGTTCTTATTGCAATGCATATTTTCTAACTTTTTCCATAGTTGCCTTATATAAAAAAAATCAACATCCAAAATGACGAGAATAACCAGTTAAGCAAAAAAAGCTATTTACTAATTCTATCGACAATTTTTCAATTGTATCTACATTATCTAGATAAGTATTAGACTTAAATAATTAGAAAACACAATTAGATAGTGAGTAAGGAGGTTATTAAAAAGTTAAGGCAGGTTTTTTAAGTGATAGAAAAAAAAAGTTAGTAAATTTGCAATATGCTAAATCATTAAATCATGTAAATATTATGTTCTACTAATACATAAATTATTCAATAAAATCTAATTTATCAATTAAAATATTGTTGTTGTTAGAATTTATTATACATTTTTTGAATTTATACGTTTTTTTTTTTTTTTTTTTTTTTTTTTAAAGATGATATATGTCAGATTAGATTTATTATTAGATTATTATTATACAAGATCACAATATATCATATAGATCATGTGATCTGAATCTTTATCCTGATTAGCTAATTATAGAGGTAAGATATTTGAGATTCCCTTTATCCCTTTAATAATTATATCATATATGTAAGCTCCCTTATTTCACTATTATTTCACCATTATTTCATCATTATTTTACCATTATTTCACTATTATTTTGCCATTATTTCACTATTATTTCTTTATCATTTTGCCACTATTATTTCTTCATACTTTTACCATCATTTCGCCTATAATTTTACTATTATTTCACCATCTTTTACTAATAATTTTGCTACCTTTCACCATCATCTTCACCATTATTTCACTATCATTTTGCCACCTTTTCATCATCATTTTGCCTATAATTTCACCATAATTTCACTATCATTCTATCTCTATTTTATATCACTTTACCTTAAATTCAGATAACACATGTTATTATATATTATAATAAATAGTTTATTTATTGATGATTATAAAAAATTTTTTTATTATTTTTTTACAAAATTTTATTTATGTAAATAATTTATCTAATGTATAAAATCATATAATGTGGTGATATTACTTTATTTATTAATTTTTAATTATTACATTATATTAATAATACTATTTTTAATAATATCATGATTAAAATAATTAAAAATATTTTGTGTTACTCCTGTTAAAGTTAACAAACTATCATTAATTATTAATCCATTTGATTTAATATGATATATAATATTTTGAAAACAATGATGAGTAAATAATGTATAATCTTCTTTAGTTTGACTTGCAAAAATATTGAGATAAATTGGTAAATATACTTGCAATAAAATATAGAATAAATCTTCAATTTGAGTAATAGTATTTTGGCTATAATAATAATTACCATAACCTTTATAATATATTGCAATTACTTTGATAATATAAATTTTTGTTTCATATAGTATAATTATATAGTCATCTTGTTGTAATGGAAAATCTTAAGTAATATTTGCTAATTCAATACACATAATTGCAATAAATAATAAATTATTAATAAAATTATATAAATTATATATTTATAATATATTAAATTTATATTACTTTCACTTGTAACTTTATCAGCTTGTCTCTGCTTTGATAATTCATATTGTTATAAATTAGCAAGATTAGCTGTCTTTGCTTTTTAACTGTTTTTCTATTATTTCACATGTTATTTTATGAATCGTATTTTAGGATTATCATTATTTGTAAAATGTGAAATTATATGACTAGCCTTATTTAGATTAATAGTATTTGTTTTTCATAACTGATCATATGTGCATAATTTTTTCTCTCAATTAGTCTTAAATTATATGCTTTATAATGACTTTGTAATGCAATTATAGTTAAATAATCTAGTTCTCCTGTTGAAAGAAGATATCTAATAGAAAAATCTTTTTTTAAATTATCAATTTTATTAATATTTAATAATAATATATTGTTAAAAATCTTAAAATATAATAATTATATCATGAGTAGATCGCTCATATGCATTATAAAAGTTTCTTGTAGTATTATTTAAAGTTAAAATAGTTTATATTTGATCATCAATATTTTTATTCTCAATGTTATAAAAATTAAAAATATTATCAATTGTGTTGGTAGTATGCTTGAAGACTTGATGAATTGCATCAGAAATTTCTCTATTAATTTCAAAAATTCATCTGAATTACTTTCAAGTTCTGAACTTGACTTAACTCTAGTTGATACTTCTAAATTTAGCTCCTCTATTATTATAAATAGCTGTAATAATAATTGATTTGCATTTGAAGTAGAATTCATATCAAGTGTTTTGACAAGATCTAATGCCAATTTGTGTGAATATTTAATTGTTAAAGTAATATCAGTATTTGATTACCAGTCAAAATATGATAATTAGACATAAATTTAGTTAAGTTAAATATAGGTCTAATATCATTCTAATATGCATCAAATTGAAGTTTATAGTTCTTGCATAATTAGATAATTAATAGTTGTATATTTAGACAGATTATTCAACTAGTATTAGTAATAAATTTGACCAGTATTAGTAACTTATTTGAATTAAATTCAAAAATATTATTTATATATAGTATATATTATTATATGTGTAACATATCTAATATATAACTATTTAACAATTTTTTAGTAATATTTATATGTATATTATATATTTATTATATTCAGATTATTCTTAATACAATTAGCAAATTATTTGTCATATTAATAATCTTCTATTTTAATAGACTTTCTTTACCTTTTCGATTAGTAGTAGCTCTTTCCTAATATTAGTTGTAATATATAATATAATATTGGTTCTCAAATATAAAAATATAAAATAAATTATTTCACTTACTTCAGGTGTTATCATGAAAAATTTGTTCATTTCATCAAGTTACATTTTGTTCATTCTAACCGATACTATAGTAGATAATTCACTTCTTTTATCATAATCTTTAATCTCTTTATCGAAGAATAGGTTAGTTAAATATTTTTTATTATTCATATTATTTTCTGCATCAAAATAATCATAATTAATAAATTTATTCATCTCATTTATTTCATTTGTTTCATAATATTTGTTATTATTGTTCGCCTATTCAGGTATATTTTCAGGTGGTTTACTTGAGGTAAAGTACATCTCATCATTATATATATATTTCTGTTGCTTTTTGTTATAAACCTGCTATTCAACCATCAGATCTAATATGCTTTAAAGCAATGACTTTAACTAGCAATATTATATGAATATATATTATAAAATAATATCCATTTTTTGTAAGCGTCATAAATAATCATAGATATAAAAAAATTTCTTTTCTTTAGAGTTCCTTGTATTATATTCATCTTCTGAATCAATTATTCAGGCAAGTGATAATTATTTTGTTGTAAAATGAATATGACTTCGTTCTTGTTGAATCCTTAAACACTTTTATCATGCATCTTAAACAAGTTAAATACTACCTTTATTCGTCTATTTTTTTCTGACGAATATTATTAACAATGGTGTTAAAATAAATGTAATAGGTATATATCTAATCAATTAAATATTTACCTTGGTAAGACAAGTATTAGCATGCAACCTTCTATTGACTTTTCCTAATGTTTCAACTTGTCTTTTCTTTAATCTATTTCTACAGTATTTGTGAATGGCTTTAAGCCAATTAGACAATTGAGTGACTGATGGATTGAAGATACCTTTTATCATTCTCTTCAATTCTGGAATTAGATTCTCGTATATAATTATCACTTATTCAGAGAATGTTTTCTTATAATTCAGTTGATATTCAGCCAGTATCTGTTCTTTAATCAGGTTTTTCATCTCAGCCTATAGCAGAAAAATTACATGTAATATATATTTAAATAATTAAACTAATTATATATTAAAAATTATTTACTCTAGCCGCTGTAGCATTAGATTCATCTGGTAATATTGGTCTGTCTATACTTAGCATCCTTGGCAACTTATGAGGATTATTTCCAGAAATCTAAACTTTACAAAAATGTGACAATTCTGTTTTTAATTTGTCATTTTCGACTATTAACTTGTCATTTTTATTTTCAAATTATTCATTGAAGATTTGAATCATGGAATTTTCTTCTTCTAATATCTGAATCCTTTCTTCAAGATTCTTCATATTTCTTTTTAATTCGATTTCTATTTCTCGTTATTACATTTCAACTTGCAAATGAATGTTTTTCTTTTATAAATTCTCTATTTTCAGATTATCTGTTTGAATTATTTAGTTTTTATATTTAAAAATATAGATACAATTTAATAAATATCACAACAAAATTGACTTAATTATTACCATATTCATTACTAATTGACCTTAGGATTCTAATATTCAAATATCTCTTGATTAGCTCTTCAGATTGACATATTAGTTATTTGAAGTGCTATAGATATTGCTGCAATTATCAGATGAATCAGCGTAGTTATTGGTTGAGCTGTTATTAGGCAAACTAAAGTGGTTGTTGAGATTGAGCAAACTGGAGTAGTTGTTTGAAGTGTTATAGAATATTCTAATACAGTTAGATGAACTTGAAAACATATTGCTATAGTTAGACGAATTTGAAAATATGTTGTTGTAATTGCTGAGCAAACTTGAGAACATGTTATCACAGTTACCAAGTAAACTAGTATAGTTATTGGCTAAGCTGTTACTGAGCGAACTGGTATAGGTGAAGATTATTGAACTGGTATAGGTTGTTTAACAGGTTTTGGTGGTGAAATTTGTGAGTAGTTGAAATTTGCTTGACCTTGTATAATAATATTTTTTTAGTAGTTCTATATTAGAAATATTATCATTCATGAGAAAAAAAATGTTTGATATAGAAAATTCAACTTATATTTATATTGTTCTTTATCATTAATCATAATATTTAAAGATTTTAATAAATTTAACTTATATTGATTATGATTTAATAATATTAACTTAAATTTAACTTAAATTCGACATATTAATTATGATTAGTCAAGTTACTTAAAAATATTAATAAAATTTTAAAAATTTAAATTAAAATAATTAAACAATTCAACTTATAAAATTGTGTATGTTACGATATTATTTATTACTACTTCATTCATCGTTTTGTTAAAATAATAAGAAAATAATCTATTACAGGTATTATAAAAATCATGCAAGCTCTTTGAAATCAAATCCACCTTCTATAGAAGATGTTAAAATTATAACAAGAGCATCAAGAATAAAGGTTTGATGTTTTTGTGACAAATGTAAAGGAAAACTAGTTGATCTGTGTACGAAAAATGCATACAAATAAAAGAGATGACTAACTTCTTTAGGATCAGAGCAGTTAATACAAAGGGTGGACAAAAGTTTCTGGACACTTTTTCACTAAATATAAAACTTATAATTCCTTAGCATTAATAGTAAAAGTTCTAATATTATTTTATTTAGAGCTGGTTAAGGCATAATTTTCGTATTAAACTTTTAGTACTTGGTTGGACCTCCCTTTGCCACAATCACAGCCTGAATTCGCTGTGATATGCTATTGACTAAATTTTCAATCGTATGCATCAGAATTTCTCGCTATGACTTTTTAACATATCGGTCGAGGTCAGCAAGATTCGATGGGGTTTTTAAATATGCACGAATTTTTTCTTAATATCAGCCCATAAATTTTCAATTGGGTTAAGATCAGGACTTTGGACTGGCTAAGTAAAAGATGGCTCTGCGTTGTTCTTTGGTTAATTCTTTATTTTGTCCCATTATTTTTCGATTTGGTAGAGATTAAGTGAATTAAATCAAAACAACAAAAAAAACAAATTTTTTTATTTTGATTATGTAAATAAATAATAGACGGTCATATGACCGCAGTATAGTATCACAATTATATGATGAAAAATTTTAAATCGCATTTATAAAGGTGTCCAGAAACTTTTATTCACCCTCTGTACATTCACCTATTAATAAATTACTAATATCACAATCAATAGTTAAACCAGTCAACAAGGAATATTTAACACAATAATCAATAATTGATAATAACGATATGTTAGAAGAAATAATTAATGATAACATATTAGAAGAACAAACTTTTACATTTCTTTTATATAAAAAGAAAATAACAGCAACCTTTCGACATATCATCATGCATAATGAAGGTAATTTTAAAATTCTGAAGATTTTAATAGCAATTTATCAACCAAAAATGAAAATGAAGATGATATAGATGATGGAGATGATATAAGAGATAGTAAAGATAATAACGAATTTTCAAATAATTTTAAAGATTATTCTTATCCTATATTCAATATATCAAATGCCTCAGAGTTACTAAAATAAGATCGAGCAATATGGATTTTAATATACAGGGGGGTGAAATAAATATTGAATAATTTTTATTTGATGTTTATTTATATTTATTTGCTATATAATATATTTAATATTTAGTATGACCTCCTTTAGCAGAAATAACTGCATAGATTCAAGAAGGCATTGAATTAATAAGTTTTCGATATATTTCTTTAGAAATCGACTTCCATTCTTCAATAATAATTTTTTCTAACTCTTGGATGTTAGATGCTCTGAGTTTACGTTTTTGAAGTCCAGACTCAACAATTGACCAAAGTTCTTTAATAGGATTAAGGTCAGGACTCTGAGGTGGCTATGACAAACGTTCTACTTTACTTGAAAGAAGAAAATCTTGTGCGATTTTTGCTGTATGCACTGGTGCATTGTCTTCT